ATTATTGGGCTATCTATACCCCTACCGTCATGTTATTGGGTTATCTATACCCCTACTGTCATACTTTGAAATAAAAATACCCCTATTTTGGATGGAGTGACATGTGGCAACACCAGATTAAAATGACTCATTTCTTATTTTTTACCCGACCCGTTTTTAAAAAACACCACAGCCCGACCCCTATTTTCATTTTTTTCTAGTTTTTTTTTTAAATTCAATTTTTAAAAAACGAAAATATTTTGTTAAAAAACAAAAAATATTTTTTTTTTCTGTTTTTACAAATTTGTTTTTCCAGTTTTTACAAAACCAAATTCTTTTAAAAAACTAAAAAAAAATATTTTTCAAAAACGAAAATATTTTGATGAAAATAATTTTTTCAGTTTTTAAAAAATGAAAATATTTTTTTTCTGTTTTTACAAAAAAAATTCAGTTTATACAAATTTGTTTTTTCAGTTTTTACAAAAAGAAAATCTTTAAAAAAACTGGAAAAACTGGAAAAAAAACATTTTTCAAAAACGAAAATATTTTGTTGGAAATATTTTTTCAGTTTTTAAAAAACGAAAATATTTTGTTAAAAACTAGAAAAAAAATTCCAGTTTTTACAATTTTGTTTCAGTTTTTACAAATATGTTTTTATAGTTTTTACAAAAAAACAATATTTAAAAAAACGATTTATTTCAGTTTTTACAATTTGTTTTGCAAAATCTTTTCAGTATTTACTCAGTTTAAAAAAATTAAAATATTTTGCAATTTTTTTTAAAGTTTTACAAAAAGAAAATTCTTTAAAAAAACTGAAAAATAAAAATATGTTTCGGGTCGTGGGTTTTTTGTAAAATGGGTTGGGTAAAAAAAAATGGGCCATTTTAATATGGTGCTGCCACGTGGCACTCCATCCAAAATTGGGGTATTTTTGTTCCAAAGTATGAGGGTAGGGGTATGGATAGCCCAATAGTATAACGAAGGGTACAGATAAACAATATTTGAAAGTAGAGTGGTATATTTGGCCTTTTGCCGTTTTCATATAGTAGTACATATTAAACCCCCAAAAATATGGGAAAACTATCCTCTATAGTCCCTCAAAATTTTAATAGCCCATATTTTTGTTCATTGACAAAAAATAGTCCTCCGGCCCAAACATATTACATCTAGTAGCCCGAAATGTCTATTTTGTATATTTTTTGCATAGTAACGGTCTATTTTGTATATTTATTGTATAATGACAGACTATTTTGTATAGTGACAATAGATTTTGCATATTCTTTTATATAGTGACAGACTATTTAGTATATATTTTGTATAGTGACAGTCTATTTTGTATATATTTTGTATAGTGGTAGTCTAGTGTATATAAATTATATAGTAACAGTCCATTTTATATATATTTGTATAGTGACAGTCTATTTTGTATATAGTTTGTATAATGACAGTCTATTTAGTATATTTTTTGTATAATGACAGTCTATTTTTTTTATAGTGATAGTCTATTGTATATAAATTGTATAGTGATAGTCAATTTGTATAATTTCTGTATAGTGACAGTCTATTTGTATATATATTTTGTAATAATACCAATATTCAAGAGAAATGATCACCTTCCGCGATTGTTAGGGAGAAACCTAATATTAAGTGGAATGATGTTGCCGAGTTGGAAAGTGTTAAGCAAGCTTTGCAGGAAGCTGTTATTTTGCCTGTCAAGTTCCCTCAGTTCTTTATCGGTGAGTATTTGCTTTTATTTGGTATATTTGTATGGTTGCCATATTTTCTAGTGAAAAAAAATTGATAGGTGCGGGTGATTGTATTTCTTAAAAGTGATTCTTAAGTAGCATTCCCTCTTTTTACAAGAACGCTTTGGAGCACTTCAAAAACCAACTGAAGTACGAGAAAAATCATAAGATTAAGGAAGCGATTACTCAGAAATGTATAGCCTATAGGTTGAGTTATATTTCGGCCCTTTTTCATATAGTATTACATATTAAACCCCAAAAAATATGAGAAAATTACCCTCTACAACCCCTCAAAATTTTAATAGCCCATATTTTTGCTCATTGACAGAAAATAGCCCTCTGGCCCAAACATATTACATCTAATAGCCCGAAATGTCTATTTTGTATATTTTTTTTATATAGGAACAATCTATTTCGTATATTTGTTGTATAGTGACATCCTATTTTGTATAGTGACAGTATATTTTGTATATTTTTTTTGTATAGTGACAATCTATTTAGTATATATTTTGTATAATAATAGTCTATTTTGTATATATTTTGTATAGTGACAGTCTATTGTATATAAATTATATAGTGACAATTTATTTTGTATATTGACAGTCTATTCTGGATAAATTTTATATAATGATAGTTTATTTAGTATATTTTTTGTATAATGACAGTCTATTTTTTGTATGTATTTTGTATAGTGATAGTTTATTGTATATAAATTATACAATGATAGTCCATTTTGTATAATTTTTGTATAATAACAGTCTATTTTGTATATATATTTTGTAATAATACCAATATTCAAAAGAAATGCTCATCCTCCTTGATTGTTAGGGAGAAACCTAATATTAAGTGGAATGATGTTGCCGGGTTGGAAAGTGCTACCGGTGAGTATTTGCTTTTATTTGGTATATTTGTGTGGTTGCCATATTTTCTAGTGAAAAAAAATTGATTCATGTGGGTGATTGTATTTCTTAAAATTGATACTTAAGTAGTATTCCCTCTTTACATGAACACTTTGGAGCACTTCAAAACCCATTTAAAGTATGAGAAAAACCCTAAGATTAAGGAAGCGATTACTCAGAAATGTATAGCCTATAGGTTGAGTTATATTTCAGTCCTTTTTCATATAGTAGTACATATTAAACCCAAAAAAAAAAGATGAGAAAACTACCCTCTATAGCCCCTCAAAATTTTAATAACCTGTATTTTTGCTCATTGACAGAAAATAGCCCTCCGGCCCAAACATATTATATCTAATATCCCGAAATATCTATTATATATATATATNGCAGTCTATTGTATATAAATTATATAGTGACGACCTATTTTGTATATTTTTATGTAGTGACAGTCTATTTTGTATATATTTTGTATAATGACAGTCTATTTAGTATATTTTTTTGTATAATAACAGTAGATTATTTGTATATATTCTGTATAGTGATAGTATATTGTATATAAATTGTATAGTGATAGTCTATTTTGTATAATTTTTGTATAGTGACTGTCTAGTTTGTACATATATTTGTAATAATACCAATATTCAAAAGAAATGCTCACCCTCCGTGATTGTGAGGGAGAAACCAAATATTAAGTGGAATGATATTGCCGGGTTGGAAAGTGCTAAGCAAGCTTTGCAGGAAGCTGTTATTTTGCAAGTCAAGTTCCCTCAGTTCTTCACCGGTGAGTATTTGCTTTTATTTGGTATATTTGTATGGTTGCCATATTTTTTAGTGAAATAAAATTCATTGTTCGGGTGACTGTATTTCTTAAAATTGATTCTTAAGTAGCATTCCCTCTTTATATGAGCGCTTTGGAGTACTTCAAAACCCATTTAAAGTATGAGAAAAACCTTAAGATTGAGGAAGTGATTACTCAGAAATGTATAGCCTATAGGTTGAGTTATATTTCGGCCCTTTTTCATAAAGTAGTACATATCAAACCCCAAAAAATATAAGAAAACTACCCTCTACAGCCTCTTAAAATTTTAATAGCTCATATTTTTGTTCATTGATAGAAAATAGTCCTTCGGCCTAAACATATTACATCTAATAACCCGAAATGTCTATTTTGTATATTTTTGTATAGGAACAGTCTATTTTATATATTTGTTGTATAGTGACAGTCTATTTTGTATAGTGATAGTATATTTTGTATTTTCTTCGTATAGTGACAATCTATTTAGTATATATTTTGTATACTGACAATCTATTTGTATATTTGTTGTATAGTGACAGTCTATTTTGTATATTTATTTGTATAGTGACAATCTATTTAGTATATATTTTGTATACTGACAGTTTATTTAGTATATATTTTGTATACTGACAGTCTATTTAGTATATTTTTTGTATAATAATGAGAGTCTATTTTTGTATGGCGATATTGTATTGTATAAAAATTGTATAGTGATAGTCTATTTTGTATAATTTATGTATAGTAACAGCCTATTTTGTATATATATTTTGTAATAATACCAATATTCAAAAGAAATGCTCACCCTCCGCGATTATTAGGGAGAAACCTAATATTAAGTGGAATGATGTTGCCGGGTTGGAAAGTGCTAAGCAAGCTTTGTAGGAAGCTGTTATTTTGCCCGTCAAGTTCCCTCAGTTCTTCACCGATGAGTATTTTCTTTTATTTGGTATATTTGTATGGTTGCCATATTTTCTAGAGAAAATTTTTTTGATTGGTGCGGGTGATTGTATTTCTTAAAATTGATTCTTAAATAGCATTCCCTCTTTACATGAACGCTTTGGAGCACTTCAAAAACCAACTGAAGTACGAGAAAAATCATAAGATTAAGGAAGCGATTACTCAGAAATTTACCGAGTATTTGCACCGGGCTGAGGAGATACGAGTTGTGTTGGATGAGGGTGGGATCGGGCCAAGTCCAAATAGAGGGGATGCTGTTGTGGCGACAAGGCCCAAGACGAAGACAAAACCAAGGATGGAGAAGATGGGGAGGATTCTTGGGCTAGCCTCTTAATTAGTTTTGGGCTATAAAATGCATACTGCAATTTTTGGCTAGCGATTGATATTAGTTTCTAACAGCTAGCGATAAATGAAGTTTGCTCAAAAAATATGAAATAAGGAAACATTTGGGTTTAAAAAAGTCTATTACATAGTACTACCTCTGTTTTAAAAAGATTGATATTATCTCCTTATTAATCTGTTTCAAAAAGATTTCCTTGATAGGAAGCTTTATAGTCACACAAACATTATTTCTTGTTTAAAACACAAGTTTCAAAATTTTTATTATTATACAAATATTTTGTCATATTTAAAATTATAAGTTCTGAAAGTCTTCATTACTTTATTAACTTTGTGTCAAGCCAACAAATTGAAATGGAAAGCGCACTTTTCTTTTCAAATTGCAGTTAGTTTGACACAAGGACTTCTAGTTATAGTTATTCAAAGCTAACTAAAATGGTCATTGGAGCCAAAGTAGCCAGGGTCTCTACGAACCCCATTGTTTATCATTTCTTCAATTGCACACCGGACGTATACACGAAACTCCTCGAAGCCTACGCTCAAAGTGGCGCCCTCCAATCAGGGAAAACTTTACATGCACATTTGGTTATCAATGGATTGGCTCAAAAAGCCCATTTTGCCACCAAGCTTGTTGCTTTTTATACAGAATGTAGACAATTACTCCATGCACGTAAACTGTTCGACAAAATTCCCCAATCAAATATTCGCCGTTGGATTGTTCTCATTGGAGCCTATGCTCGACATGGGTTTTATGAGGAAGCAATGAGTGTTTTCTCTGAGATGCAAAGGGAAGGAATGAAGCCTAATAAGTTTGTTCTTCCCAGTGTTCTCAAAGCCTGCGGGCGCTTCAATGATTTTCGAATAGGAGAGATATTACATAGTGTGATTTTGAAGAATGAGTTTGAATATGACTCGTATGTGGTGAGTGCATTGATAGATATGTATTCAAAGTGTGGTAAAGTTGAGAAGGCGAAGAGGGTGTTTTATGGTATGGTTGATAAAGATTTGGTGGCAATGAATGCTTTGGTTGCGGGTTATCTTCAATATGGGATTGTCAATGACGCGTTGGTATTAGTTGAGGAGATGAAAGTTCAAGGAATGAAGCCTAATGTGGTGACATACAACACTCTGATCGCGGGGTTTTCACAAGAAGATGATCAGGTTATGGTTTGTAAAGTTATTGAACTGATGCATGATGATGGTCTTGAGCTAGATGTAGTTTCTTGGACTAGTATTATTTCTGGGCTTGTGCAGAATTTTCATAACAAGGAAGCTTTTGGTATGTTTAAACGAATGTTGGATGTTCGGTTGTGCCCAACTTCAGCTACAATCAGTAGTATATTGCCTGCTTGTGCAACTGTTGCAGACTTGATGCTTGGTAAGGAGATACATGGTTATTCAGTGGTGACAGGGATTGAGAAGGATGTATATGTAAAAAGTGCTCTCATAGATATGTATGCAAAATGTGGATTTATATCTGAAGCTAAGGAATTGTTTTCCAAGACATCTGAAAGAAATAGTGTGACGTGGAATTCAATGATTTTTGGCTACGCGAATCATGGGTATTGCAGTGAAGCAATTGAGCTATTCAATCAAATGTTAAGAGAGGAAGAAAGGAAACCAGATCACTTGACTTTCACAGCAGCTCTCACTGCTTGTATTCATGCTGGAATCGTCCAGTATGGAGAAAGTTTGTTCAAAATGATGCAGGATAAATACGCGATTAAGCCAAGATCGGAGCATTTTGCGTGTATGGTGGATCTTTTAGGAAGAGCAGGGAAACTTGTTGAGGCCTACAATTTGATTCAGAGCATGCCAATTGAACCTGATTTATTTGCTTGGGGAGCATTTTTAGGAGCATGTAGGCAGCATGGAAATATGGATTTAGCAGAGATTGCAGCTAAACAACTGGCTAAACTTGAACCTGAGAGTGCTGGAAGTAGTGTGTTGCTATCAAGTTTATATGCTGATGCAAGTAAGTGGGCAAAAGTTGCAAAGGTGAAAAGGGTGATCAAGAAGAAGAAGCTGAAAAAGTTTCCTGGCTGTAGTTGGGTAGAAGTTGCATAAGTTTTTAGACGGTAAGAGGAGCTGAATGTCAGATATATTTGCCAATGGACATGCCTGGTTTAAATCAAACCAAGTTCCAACAGAAATCTGAGTCTTAACCAGATTTCTGTCCTTTCATAGTTACGTAAAGCTTTGTCAAACATATCAACTGAAAAACTTACGCAGGGCAATAGTTGAAGAGGAAAAGTGATGCAGATTGCGTGATGGTACCAGCCACTAGAGGCAAAGAACTAGCCCAGAATTGAAAGTTTTTCTCTCAGACGTGGTTAATAAATCCTGTTTTCAAACTCTTAGAGGCATTTAGAAGTAGCCCAAAAATGAAACACGGTTTTTCTTTCAGAAATGGTTAGTAACTTCCGAAGCAAACGTGATCATTCAAATTTGTCACATGCTTGTCTAGACAGGAAGAGCACACAGCTAGGTTGTGTGCTCAGGGTAAAGGCATGCCCAGAGGAATCAAATGGTATTTCTGCTCCCTAGTGTTAACTGATGCACCAAAGAAGAAATATGTACTGCTCAACAAAGAGGCAAAACATTTCTTGACTGACCAAGGTTCAGCTTATAATGATCCGTTGGATCAAGCCCTGCTACAATGTGTAGGAGATGAAACAGTTTGTTGAAAAAACTCCAACTAGATGTAGAAGACAACCCTATAAAAATCCCGTGCTCTGGGGGATCAGTAAGCAGTATCGCAAGCAAAAGAACTGGTTTATATGGTGTGAAATCAGAATTTAAAGTTTCTTTCGGATTATTGGCTACTAATTTGATGCTGCACTGAGCTTCAGAGTCAAAAGCCTTGTAAATAAAATGCATGTACGTGGTCTGGGATTTAAGAAATAAGTACCGAGTAGTGAGTAGTACTTTTGTGCTGCTTTCCTCATTTTCTTCTCCCCCTCCCCACCCCCACCAATGAGGGTAAACTTTCAAGATTGGCATATATGTAAAATCATGGATTTCCATCAGCTGAATGAGTTTGCAGGGTGAAGGGAAACCTGCGTTTTGAACAGATTCATCTATGCTACCACATAATTCAAACTGAGACTAGTAATCTCTATGCTTTAGCAGTAACTTCCCTGGTATAAACAGAATATATAAAAAAAAATCATCGTATCTCGATATAATTATTTCTTGAACAGAAATAGCTCTAGCTTTCCCATCCATTCTCTGGAGTGTTGTGGAAAAGAAGTTAAAATGAATAAATTTTCAATTCCCCAGTAAGTTAAATGACCCAATACTAAGTAGAAGAGGACAACAAGAAAATCAAAAGGGTGAACCAACAAGTAGTTTTAGGTTAAACCAATGATTCGAAATAAGTTACAAGAATATGAGACTTTTGATCCTTGTGCAGAAGCAATATCCAGCAACAGTGAATGAGATGAGATTGCAAAAACCCTCTGTAATGAAGGATGAAATAAACCACGTTGCTCTTTTGACTACTTTGGTGTACGATTATGACTTCGTGATTTCCTATGTCCATTGCTTGATGAACTCCACAGTATGGAGATGATTCCATACCTACTATCAAGTTCAAAAGTACGGTTTCTATCAATCCAGAACATAAGAACAAGGCAAATGGAAGCAACCAAGAAAACAAATGGACACAGGATTCTATCAACCAGTTCATAATCCATCTATGAAGAATGGCACATCCACAGAATAGCAGAGCAAGCAAAATCGCAGACATTATACTTCATCGTACACATGATAAGCAAATCTATGTTTTCGACAATAAGAAATTAGCAACTACCCATACAGGATATGCAGCCAAATAATCAGAAGATAAAAAACACCTGAATGGGCCAGTTACCATCTGACAAGAACAAGAACATAGGGACAGTATATTTCGCAAAGAGAATTAAAAGAATTTCTTTAGTACCACTCTTTGAGTGTGCACTTGGAGCAGTTGTCTTTTATACCTGCATAAAGATGTTTTCTGAAATTGTCTAAAAACCTGTGCTATATGAAGGTGGTGACTGGTGCTTTCAGCGCTAAAAAGCATGAAATTTGTTGCCTCTCCCACCTAACAGCAGAGTTGCTAACACATGCACTCATGGTGACGCATAGCAGATATAAGGAGAAAGATGAGATGTAAGAAGAAAGAGAAACTACAGCACCAGAAACACAATTAGGAAAGCCAACTAAGTTTAATCTGAAAGAATATTTACTTGGGCTGTTCAATTATTAACCAAAGCAATACATTTAATGTTCATCAAGAAACAAGCGGAAACCGAACCACGATACATTTATTAGATAGTAAAAGAACATCATGATATTCAGGCAAAACAAACAGAATCAAGTAGTTAATAAAGTTAAGAAAATTAAAGAAAAACCATCTCCCCTGGAATTGGGGGACGCATAGTGTGGACAATATTGATGCCTGCATCAATCTAGAATGACCTACAAGAACGAGAGGAAAGGATGTCAACTTCCACTCATTTCTAATCAGCCACCATCACAAGTCGTTAGTTTACAAAAAAGTTTCAAATTCAACAATTCATCAAAATCATTTCAAATTCCTCATTAGTTCCATGAGCTGTGATTCATTGCATCAACATGAAAGTTTCGACTAAAGCAGGAAGACGAATAACATCTGTTTTAACTGGAGTCATCCAGAGTACTCAGAGATTCTTCCTAGTTACATTAGTTTAATGTTGCCCAGCAACCCTCCTCCTTTATCCGGGCTTGGGACCGGCTATGCTTTGCAAAGCTCACATAGGCGGAGTTTCAAAGCAATAGAAGTTGCGTATAAAAGATATCCCATTTAACACTTTGAAGGACGAGAAAAAATAAGAGAAAGTACTGAAGAAGGTGCAATGCAGCATCTTACAATCAGCAGAACTTTACCTACCCACTGTTGCTTCTTTGAACTAGCTTAAAGAAAGGAAAAGTACAAGACACATTCACATAGACAATATATATGTATGTATATATATATATATATATATATTGAAATGGGGAAAAAGGGCACACATATAAATAGAAGGCTTCAAGCACGAGCATCGTTACCGGAGAAGTTACTAGAGGTCTAGTGAAATTGTGAACCAAGTGGTGCACAAAAGATATTCATCAAAGCTTCTCAAAATTTAATACCATATGATTTCAGCCATAAAATAGATAGTTAAAAAATATATATACCTCACAAAAATTGATTAATTTAGTAAGGGCAAATAAGACATTGAGTTACTGGGTCCTCCCAAAGAATTTCATATCATGTTCATTATTACAAGGGAAACAGGGTAGCAGATTATCTAGGTGTTTTGGGAAACCTAATGCCACCTCAGAGAAAACACAACCAAATGAAATGCTTGTAATTGTTACTCAACTTGAAGAAAGCACAATAATTTAGGAGATGTATAGTCGGCCAATTACATACAATACAATCAAGTATTCTGTTATAGAAAGTAAATATGGCTTTAAACTGGGCGAAGNGCAACCAAATGAAATATTTGTAATTGTTACTCAACTTGAAGAAAGCACAATAATTTAGGAGATATGAAGTCTGCCAATTACATATGGTACAATCAAGTATTCTGTTATAGAAAGTAAATATGGCTTTAAACTGGGCGAAGAAGGATAAAGCTTCATATAACCATGTTAGAGAAGCTGACAATGTTCCTAATACATTATTGAGTCTATGATCATTACTGAAAACAAATGCCAAATACCAACATTAACACAAAATATTAACAGATATCATGTTGAGATTGTACAAATGATCCACTTCCGTTGGGTGAAATTTATTTCAGGGTCCACATCAATGCTTTACAAGAATAGACCAAACATAGTGACATTTTGCTGTCTAACTCAAATTTGTCTGAAATGTTACCAGAGTATACCTCGTGGTCTCTGTCATGAATTCTCTAAGCTCAAGCATCTGGCTGGTCCACACTACAAATTTGAGTACCAATGATCAATGAGACAAAAGTCATGTAATCGGATATGCCGTTTAGTATTTTTAACCCTATCTTCTGAGGTAAAAGCATGAGCCAGAAGATTACCAAGGCAAGAACAACTTCATTTGTACATGTTGATCAAACATTCAGATGAAAACAGTTATTGCCCTAACACCAACCATTTCTGAATGTGAAGGGACAATGCACTTCCATAATCACCATAAGAAAAAAGACATCTAATTGCCCTTTATACAGCCACATTTAACTACCTATGGATCAGTAAACAGCCCAGAAATAAATAAATAATGGTGATGAGATTTTTCCTCTTCATCAATAAATGAAAAATGGTTGGGAGGGGAGGGGAAGCCAGCATTGGATAATGAATGAAGCAAATGAAAGTCAAAGCAATATCAAACTTTAATGTTCTCAAATTGCACAATGACATATGCAGTGTTAACACTTGAGATCCAATAGATACAAGAAACTAGCAATGTATATGTGGTAGATCATCACAATAGATACAGCAGAAATATTTCTAGAATGCAAAAATAAATATGATCGCGAGAAAACGATTTCAACCAAGGTGTTACGACAGTTACTACTAAAATATGTTGGAGGATAAAATTAAGAAATTTCTTTGCTTTACTAGCTTAATACAGAAGGAGAGCCTTGGAGCAACGGTAAAGTTGTCTCCTGTGACCTATAGGTCATGCGTTCGAGCCGTGGAAATAACCACTAACGCTTGCATTGGGGTAGGATGTCTACATCACACCCTTGGGGTGCGGCCCTTCCCCAGACCCTGCGTGAGCGCGGGATGCTTTGTATACCATGCTGCCCTTCTTGCTAGCTTATTACAAAATTAGAACGGGTTGACTCCCTCCATTGAAGTGGTGATTACGGCGCAGAAAATGCATTATATTTTCTTAGTTGACCATCAATCTTAGTTTGCATCAATTTCAAGAGGAGGACAAAAGAAGTTTTCAGCAGCTATAGAAATTAAAATAGGCATTTCACAAAAATCCACTTCCAGAACTCATAATATTTCACCCACACTAACAGCTAGATAAAATGCTATAATGGCCCGCAAATTCTTAGAACTAGTTTTCTTTTATGTCATAGTTTTTGGGACCCAAAAGTAAAATCTGCAATCAACCAAAAAAGCAAGTGGTAAAAAAGATGTAAGAGTAAGAAGTCACTCCTATATCGTATACACCTACTTCTAGGAAAATCCTGGTTTTGCCCTCAATTTTGTATAATAAATCAATAAGCACACCAAAAGATACACCACAATAGTTACTAATAGAAAAGGAAAAAAGAGAATCCGAAATTATTGTACTATCTTTCAAGAAAAGTGTGATCGAAACAACAATTCTATCTTGTTCTCTAATTATGTATTAAGCTCCTTGCTGAATAAGAAGCTACAACCAGAAATGACATGGCTCTAAGAAATTTGGAGCAACTACTACTAGTTTGCCTTAGTCCCAAATAAGTTGGGGTTAGCTATATGAATCTTGACCATGTTACTCCATTTAAGCTCATCTTAGGCCAATATGCTCTAAGAAATTTAGAGCAATTTATGAAATTTTTGTCCCTATAAATCTACCAAATCTAAACAAGTAAAAAAAAGCCTAAATGATACTAACTGGAATTCCTAGTTTGCAATCCACCAAGTGAGAATCTTCCTGATGGACCAATCCAGTAACCAACCCTGTACAAGCAATTATCTATTAGCATACACAATAAAAGTTCACAAACAGTAGAGTTGCAACTTTTATAGAACCAAGAATTACCTCTTTTTTCTTGTCTGCTATAGCTATTTGTCACTAGGAGCAACATGATGATAAGAACCAAATTTATTTCCAGACCAATCTCGCTGTTGTGCCCCCATATTATACTGATGATGAAACCCACGTCCATGTCCATGTCCATGTCCTGACATTCCCATCATAGGCATTGGCACCATTTGTGGGGGATACATCATTGGCATTGGCATAGGCATTGGCATCTGCGCATGACCATTACTATTATGACCATTACTGTTATAACCACTACTGTTATGACCATTACCACCGGACTGCTGCAGACTCTGTGGCACGGGTGTGGACGCGAATAAATGATCGGAAGAAGTGGGCCCCTCATTTGACAGCCCTTGCATTCTCTTCAAGTACAACCTATACTTCTGCAAATGGCTTGCAACATTTTCCCGCGTTAATCCTTCCACGTTCATTAACTGCATAATCGTCTTTGGCACCGCATTTTTTATCCCTAAATGAGCCACCACGTCCACGAATCTCTTGTGCAGCTGTGGCGTCCACACGAGCCGCGGCCGCTTGTTCAGCGGCTTAGAAGCTGAATTATTATTACTATCATCTCCTCCTCCACAATTCTCATTCCTCAGTAATGCTGAATCCGCGTCTAACATCTCCGGGTCAATCCTTCGGGTCTTCCTCGGATCCGATCCGTTTTCCGTCGGATCCGTTTCCGGTGAGGACAGAATGTGTAATTGTTGCAACGGTCCACTGCCTCGGAGAGATGAGAACGTGTTCTCCGAAGCACGATTGACGTCGGTCATCGTCCTTGCCGGCTCCGGCAATATTTTGAACGCCGACGCGAGTTCCGGCGGGATTAACGCCTGAGATAACGGCGTTAGATCGTCGAGACTCGGAAGTCCGTCTTCCCACTCGAGAACACGGTTATCGTCTCCGGAGAAAGCATCACCGCCGGTGATTTTTACTTCTTCGCCCATAGAACTTCTTACAATTTTTTAATTTTTTTATTACAATTTTTTAAAAAAAATATCAAGTTAATGAAACCTGCCGTGATTTCAGTAGAGGATTGGATCAGAGAAAGAGAGGAATTTCCGGTGAATTTCACCGGCGAGAAGAAGACGGAGAGTGTGGGGTGGGTGAAAGAGGGGGGTGGGGTATGGGGCGGTGGAAAATAGCGAATAAATAAAGGAGAAAAGGCGTGAGAAAAAGTGCATATCTGATTCTAAATTGGCCCACCAAGATTGCCAACGTGGATGGCTTAGCTAGATATTTTTTCTATCTTTAGAATCTTATGAAATATCTCTCTCGCTTTCCTCTTATCAACATTGTGTTAGTGTGTGTCCTCTTTTTGCTTTTCTTTTTTCTAGTTTATAGCTTGTTTTTGTACTATATCGTTACTTTAAATATTATTTTAATTATTACTTAAATTTTATTGTATTGTATTATTAAATTTGCCGTTATATAGCGACAAAAAGTATTATTTTTATATAACGGCGGATTTTGTGTGATGACATCATTACCTTTTTTTCCTCTCATTTTGTCCTTTATTATTAAATAAATATATTTTATCATTTACCCTACTTTTTATAATGATTCTACTTCGAATCTTATTTTTTCTTAGTAATGTTGTAAGTTTATTCTTCATATTTTTGGTATGTGATATCATGAAACAACTATAAACGTTACAATCTATCTACACATTTTATTCATCAAACAATACAATACGATATGATATAGTACAATACAATACGATCCATTATGAAACGACATGTAACAACCATCCAAACAAGCTATTAGTATTCCTTCCTCTCATTATATGTGTCATCGTTCGAATTTTAAGAGTCAAATAAATTTTTTATCGTAATCTTTTTATATATTTTTTTAATATTTTTTGAACTATAAATTATTGTATGTAATTTTTTAATTAATATAAATTTAATTTCAAATACTTAAAAATTCTACGTTCGAACATCATCAAAATTAATATATTTGAGAAATAAGATCGGAGCCGCATAAATTAAGACAGGTAATATGTGTCTATTGTTATAAAATAAAGACTGTAAAGTAAAGACAAGTATAGAGAGAAACTGATATATTATTCGAATTCAAACTGATGTACATAATGAACTGAAATCTCTTCTATTTATAGAAGAAAGGAAGCTGCTGTGTAAGCTGCTACACAAGCTGCTGTGTAAGCTGCTACTACAAGCTGTTGTGTAAGCTGCTATTACAAGCTGCTACGCAAGCTGCTGTGTAAGCTGTTACTGCAAGCTGTTGTGTAAGCTGCTATTATACCAGATATGGATAATCTTCTACTGAGAGCAATGTTTATCCATAACGGAGTACT